GAAACGTAACGTATAGACCGAAATATGTCTACCTAGTAATAGCCAGAAATGGTACTGCATCTTGAATGCGTTATACTTGATGAAGTTTATTGTTGTTTGGGGTATAGTCAGGTCTACCAAGACCATATAAATTGGGTTTAGGCTGTATCCTTTACATTTAAAAAATATATATATATATATATATATATATATATATATATATATATATATATATATATATATATATATATATGTATATTCATTAGAATCTTTTAGCGATATATACTCTGTACTGACATGACAGGAAACAGTGAGAAAATATAATAGTGTCTGTGTAAGCAATTTGGTAAAAGTATATGTAGTAAATTAATTCTTTCGAATTCAGAATGGATGTGAGACAACGAATTTACTAATTGCTTAAACCATCTGTGTTTTAAAGTGTGAAATATTTCTGGAAACAGATCTAGCTAATATTTTAGAGAACTTGAACCTGAAAGGGGGAAGAAATTTGACCTCATTTCGTATAATTTTTTCTCGACATGACATCAGTATGGTATGGTGTACCTGTTTATCAATCGATGATAGCTATTTGAAAAATATGTTATGATCTCCAACGTACGAGAGCTCTGTTTTGATCGCGAAGCGTACAAACTGCGAATTTGTCTGTCTGATGTACAATTACGTTAAAGGGAAGTGGCAATAAAAATTAACTTTTTCGTATTTGAAAGAACTTTTAAAGTTATATATGAAGACCCTTTACAACTTTTTCGCACCTTACTTGGTTTTCGAAATATTTTGACAAAAAACAGTGTGCATGCAGTCCGCATCTTGGTATTATAATTGGCTAATTAACTGGGATTTTGACGACGTCGCAAGCAGGGTAAACTTGTTAAAACTTCTTCATGTGGAACTAAATTTCTTCGTAAAATGTTGTGAGATAATTTAGTACTAAAAAGACTTTGGAAAATCGAGTTTGCAAGATAAAAAATGCATATCCAACATGGCAGAATGCTGAATGCGCGATGAAAATAAGTCGATTTATTTAAAAAAACAAGAATAATTGTAAAAAAAGTTTATATATCATATTAATTGTTCTTTGAAATAAGACAAACTTAAATTATATTGCCATATCCCTTTAAAAATAAAAAAAGAGTTTAACGTACGTTTCGAGCGAAATCCCTTCGTCCGCAAACTATGTATTGTTGCATCGTACATAGGTTTGCAGTTTGCAATTGTATTTTTGTGATGGCAATATATATTGTTATTATACGGGTAGGAAATATTCATATAAATTATTTAATGATCGATAACAAGGTTTAGAACTCACTTTAGTTATGTATTAGGCTATTTATAATGTGTGCATTAGGTAGAGTAATAATGACATGTAAGTTCTCGTTTGCCAGTTTCATGTTTGCCGAAAATAAAACAACCGCATTTTTAGTCTTTTACTATTAACGTTATAAATGTAATTGGCCAACAAATTATAGAAAATGCGGTGTCTATATTCGGCAATTAAATTGTCAAATCTTTGGGCTTAAAGTGATGTGCTTAAAAACAAGATAAAGCAATGAAAGTAGTGTCTCAAGCATTTCAAGTCAAGTTTCTCAAATGTTTGCTTGATATATTGGCTTCATTCTTTCACCGGTCATATCAAAGAAAAAATTATCTTTATATATTGTTTCACTGCTTTGTCTGTACTGTATTTATAAAATATAGAAATTCCTAAATAATGATAATAGAAAACAATAATAAAGGACCCTATAATCGAATTCGTTAAATATGGAAAAAATTTGCTGTCTCGAATATAAAATTGATATTTGACAACCAATTTACTGATTGTCGAAACGCCTTTTTAACCTGTGGAATTTTAAGAAAAAAATAAGTATTAATTTTTAAGAAAAAAATAAAATATTTGTGCGGTTACAAAATTGGCCCTGCTTCAAACGCGCCGAAAAATGGAACGCTAATTTTTGTCAACTCAGCTAGACAGTGTGCTCGTTTATGCACGGGCAATAGGACAGGTGTAGTGTTGTTAAATATAAAGTTAGAAATGGTATTATACTTACTCATGCATTATAATTATATTTAAAAGATCAGAATATTCATAACTTCTTATTTTGTTTCATAAATAGTTCTTTAATATTCGAAACAAATTCCATATCTGCTTCGTCTGCCATCGCCATGTTTACTCGTCCCAATCTACATGCTGCACGACATTGCCGCCTCTCCTGGCAAAATAATAATAAAACGTTATAAAACGCGTCGAGGATACGTTTGTGCCATATATGGAAGTTATGGGTACGTTTGTGCCATATATGGAAGTGTCACTGCATCCAGCTTATGACAACGATGTTCCTACCCTCTTATTTTCTCCTTAATTTTTCTCGCTTGCTTATTATTTTGCCAGGAGGGGCGGCAATGCCGTGCAGCATGTAGATTGGGACGAGTAAACATGGCGATGGCAGACGAAGCAGATATGGAATATGTTTCGAATATTAAAGAACGATTTATGAAACAAAATAAGAAGTTATGAATATTCTGATCTTTTAAACATAATTATAATACATGAGTAAGTACAATACCATTTCTAACTTTCTATTTAACAACACTACACCTGTCCTATTGCCCGTGGTTTATGCATGGGCGTGTTGTGTTATTAGGTGTGTTTTATACACTCCACAACTAATGCCATATCTTTGCATTTTCTCGATATTATACAAAATTATCATTTTCATAAAATCAAGCTTTTAAGCCTGTTAAAGGCAAGACGAACAAGGCAAGACGAACAAAGGCAAGACGAACAAGGGCCACATCAACGACGTAAAGGCCCTGTCACACTATTGCGTATGAGAGAAACGTATGAGAAGCGTATGAAAATTAATGAAATAATTTTCATACGCACAAAAATCCTTTGAAATGCCAGCGTATGAGTACCGTACATCTGGCGTACCTCTAGCGTATTCAGCGTGTGCCTAGAGTAAGCTTATCGTATAAAGCATACGTCCCATACAGCACAACATTTTTGAGCATATTTAAAAAAAATTTTCTGCCTCGCCGTATGCCAGCGTATGCCACCGTACGCGACCGTGCTCGAAACGTATACAACCTTTGCCTGATATTTTTCATGCGCTGGCATAAGCTAGTACGATACGCAATAGTGTAACAGGGCCTTAAAGAGAGGGATTAGTCCCTTCTGCGCATGTGCCCGGCGTTTGTTTACAGGGGACTCCACCGGAAATGAATCTCTCGTTTCCAGTCCTATAATTGGCCATATACACGCGCGATGTTTACATTCCATGAGGAGTGAATGGGGAATATTTATATAGAATTCGAAAAGGTTTCAACAAATTTGCGACTTTTATGAAACCCAAACCACCTATTAGTAAATTATTGAAACATATAAAACAACAAGAGAACACGGAAAGAATATTACGCTAACTAGAAGTTACTATCGCAAGGGAAGTGCTGCCTTACGACCCAAAGTCTTGGGGATTGATTATACCAAAAAACTTCATTTATTTAAATTTCCTTATACAGTATATACACTGTATGTATGAATTTATTTTATTTAATAGTGCAGTAATTATTATATACTGTAAACTGTACTTCGGATTTTCATATTTACACATGTTATTGTTGGTACCAATGTTTTAAACTGTCTTCACTTGTCAAAACGTCTAGAACAACACAATTAGGAAGAACAAACATATATGTCTTTTAACATGATATGATTAGTTTGTTGCAAGTTTTCACATTCTTCCAAGTAATAATAGTCTGCTGTATTTTCCAATTGGTAAACAAGACAGTGTCATTGATGGTTTTTTTGTCCAATATGCAGATGTTTCGTATTTATTTAGCATGTACAGGTACATAGTGTCCATTGTTGGCCATCATATTGTCCAATAACTTGTTAGGTTACCGTACATACTGTATAAAGGTATGTAATATCTTGACATAGTAGACATACAATGTTCTGACATCCATATGGTAGATTGGAAACAGGTACAGTAATTTAATAATACATGGCAGATTCCATATCCCATTGCATTAGATGTACTGTTTAATAGAAATACATTTCTGTTAATCCAGAAGCTCCTATCCATTTTCATGAGATGTACAGTAATATATCCATATTATATTTTGGCTGTAACAACCACTTGGTTTCATCTAGCAGTTATCATGGCACCATTCACATCCGTCAGAATTGCAAAACTATAGAAAAAAATAATTGGTAGCATGAGATATTTATGTCGAAACATAGTGGCACATAACTGAGTGAAAATAAAAGAAGGGCAGGGGGAGGGGTTAAACAAACAAAAAACTTACCTTTCTTCTGTCTTGCAAATCATAATATTTTCATACATACAGTGATAACAAGGTGTAAATTAGTTATTATATAATAAATTAAATTATTTAAAAGGGTATATAGTCAAAGTACATACCAAACTACAACTGGGATCCATATATGAATCCCTCTCTTATTCAAACTCAATAGTTTGTTGTTCTAAACGCACTGCTGGTAGCCTGTGCTAACTGATCTAGCCTGTTTTCTTCTTCAAGCCTATATTGTAAGTTAGCTGATGACTTCAAGCTTGTCAATCGTTCATACGTCATTGGTTCAATGACACAAGATGCAAGTGATTTTACTCTGCTAATAGCAACATAAGAAACTCCAGCAGTTCTTTCAGATTTGCCAATATCTATCCATGCTTTCGGAAGTGTAAGTCCTTGGCTCTTGTGTATTGTTAGAGCCCAAGCAAGCCTAAGAGAAAACTGTTGCCTCTCATGGAAACCTATTTCTGTCTGTGATGTGACAGTGATTGGACATATTGGAATACACAATGGTTGGTTTTCATTAAAAACAGGTCCTCTATAGTTTTCAAATTCTACTATTACCGCAATAGGTAA